CCCCCATTCCCCGTCATGCACAAACTAAAGCATGTTCTAATATTGGCTAATATTGGGAATATTGTCAATGTTTAATGTGAAATATGTTTAAGATCTTGCTCAGACACTTGAAATTATAAATATATATGTATATCAGGAACAATTGTTATTGGCTTTAAATAAGAACCTGAGCTGATTTGTCACTAGATACAAAATATACAAGAAATAAGACTTTATAGCCTGACTTGGGAATATAGTGGTTCTTTTATGCGTTTCTTTTTTTACGGTAATTGTATGGGTCAGTAGCGTAGCGGGGGGGGGGGCACGGGGGGCACGTGCCCCCCCCAAAAGTTTTGAAAAAAAAAATTTTTGAAAAAAGAATAACAACAAAAAAAACATATTAAACCGAAACGAAAGAGGAAAATAAATTATTACAACCTACAAAAGTGCGAATTTATACGAAGTTATCCGGAMGGGCTACCTGTGCACTGCGAAACCGGTCAGAGCCTGGAATCTGCACGTGGGAATTTGAAATTTTCTCTTATTTTGGATCAGTGCCCCCCCCCCAGCTCCTAGGTCCTCGCTACGCCGCTGGTATGGGTATTTGACCAAAATTGGCCAGCCAGTACTGTCTAATGTAAAGTTTAAGTGGATGTCTGTCATTATCAGAGCATTTTCTTGCTTTCTTCTTCCCTCAATAATTCACCTGGGTTCCAAAGGTTCTCTCGCTCCAATGCCTCTCGGTGCACGGGAACGAGAGAGAGCCTCAGGAACCCAAGTTAGCCACAATAGGACGTTTGCAAGATGGCATCATTTGATTCCCACTTTCAAGATGCTTCGCGAATTTTCTTCCTTATTCAAATTTGTATTCCTTCATGAGAATAGTAAGACAATTGGTGTTAATTAATTGAACAAAAGAAAGTGTGCAAGGGAGTCTGGTAGTAGAGGTCAATAACGCCATCGTGCAAACGTCCTATTCGACACAAATGGTAAATTCCGACTAATAATTAACCCAGTGACAAATCAATATTTGTGTATGGAGAATTTCTCAACACCCATTTTTTTCTAAACGCTTCAATCTGCTTTCACTTTACTTGCTTAGGACTTCCGAAGGTAAACTATTTTGTAATCTTTGACCCCGGAAAAGAACAAGACCACAGGGTAAATCGGTGATTTGTGCGTTAGTCGTGCCCTGACTTTGATCAGCCCAGAGCGATTTCGGAATTGACAACATTTAAAAGTATACTTAAACAGGGTACCGTTGTATCCAGCAATCTTGTCCTCTCCTTTGTGAGCTCATTATTCTGACTGTTGAGGAAGCCCTATGGGTGAATGCATCCTTCTCTATCTTCCAAGCAGCCTCTTGATAGAGCTTAAAGGTAAAGTAAATTAGTACGAGCAATGTTAATATTGAGAAAACGTGAAAGACGTTCACCATAATTAATCATTCTGACAGTTATTTAACTAAATTATCTTACATGTACCCAAGCCTATCATTTTTTAGGAATATTTCCAGCCAGTGGGGGAATCCTCCCACAAAGCTCAAACACGAGCTTAAGATAAGATAGCTAGTACCCTTATATTAGATTCTCACAGAACAAGTGATCCACGCTGAGAATGTAGAGTGATGTTTATGTTTTGGGCAGTGAGAATAGCTTACTTGATAAAACCTGTTGGCTTGGAAGTCTCTTCTTCTGTCGTTTCTGTTGAGTGAGACCAATATAAAAAACAAGGGTCATTCAAAGCCGGCACCTCTCAGTCAAACGGTAAGGTAACATTTAAAAGTCGGTTTAAGACATTTATGAATGGAGATAATTCAAGAAAACAATAGAACTAGAATGGCAATAAGGGATTAAAAATACTCTTTATATTATGGCAAATCCTAAAAGCTGTTTTACTGTGCGACTACACCAACCAAGGCCACCCTGACAATGTTTCATACAAATTAGCCAATCACGATTGAGTATTTAAAACGAAAGTTTCACATTTTCCTCTTAAAAATCATATGCTTTACTTTATACGTGTGTGTATATTCGGATCAGCAGAGTGAACGAGAAACAGTTTAAAACCCAGAATTCACGAATTCATCTACTGTGCAGCGTTAAAAATGTGATTTGCGAATTTGATTTAAAATTCGTTAGGGTAGCTTTGGTTGATGTAGTCAGACTGTAACAGTCAGTCTATGACGTTTTACAACTTTTTAATTATCATATACTGCCAGCATACTTAGAGAGGGCTTGGCCATTTCTTGCATACGTAGGTGTTCCCTCATGTTCTGGCTTTCAATATCATGCCTGTTCTTCTGTCCATATTCTGTGACTGTTTCAAAGTAAAGACAGAGTTAAATCGAAAATTAGAAAAGCCCCTTAGGTTATCTCACCTGGAAGATTTGCCTTTGGCAATGTTTAGATGTGGACTCTATCCATAGTTGCATATATACCTGTGGGCTTTTTTACTGTTCGGTCAGATTCCTTAAAAAAGAGAACATATTCAGCAATTTGTTATTCAGTATTTTTCTCTTCTTCTTTGACCATAAAACTCAGATCCCAACCCGCCCTCCCCTATATGCATCGAAAAAAATGGACATTTTTCATTTGAGCATTCCCTCTCTGTTTATTTTTTAAAGCTGTTGTCTTTCCCAGCCAGGGAATGAGTCTGGGTCAAAAAGCTACCTTTATCCCTAGGAACATGGGATATATTTAAGCTCAAAAGCTTCCCTGTTGAATAAGTCACCCGCTGAAGGATTTCATTAAAAGGAGAATACTTCAACTATGCCTAATGGGTGAGCCAAATCACAACTCGTTACTTACATCATGACTTCCGCTTCTTTTTCGAGTGTCATTGACTGCAATTGGAAATATATTCAGAAAAAAAAGAATTATTTTTATAATATCTATAATTACAGTTTTTTGAAAGAAAATGATAGATACCATGCTCACTTGCATTTTTCTCTTCATCTTGTGTGTTTTTTCTTGGCTCAACATACAGTGTATACATCGAACTGTTAACTGAAAGGGCTCTACCCCTATGTTCAAATTTTAGCTTACATGCCGTTTCCCATTTCTTTTTGTCTTGGCAATTCTTAAGGCTCATATTGTTAAAAGTTTTGTCTATTATTTAGGGAATGGTCATTATTTAGAGGGTGGGGGCTGGTAGAAATGCGTGGGATCACCAATTGTTATGCAAAGAAAAATGGGAGTTAGAACGAATTACTCCTCACGAAAAAGGGCATACATACTGTTGCACCAGCCCCACCTTAAATAATGACCGTTTTGTTATATATAAATCAATCAAAAATAAGAAGGAAAAAAGATACATGGATAAATGACAAAGGACTCTGTCAGTATTGGTTCTTGCTTGTCGGTGTAGAGTATGGCACACACCGCTTTCTACAAGAAATAAATTTTGTTCACTAATTACTGAAGGGGGGATATCGAAGGAAAAAAAGAAATTCCTTATAAGAAAGAAATTTTGTTCATTAATTATTGAAGTGGGGATATTGGAGAAAAAAAGGGAGGCCTAAACCCTTCAAAATGTTGGAAATAAACAGCTAAGAAATCATTAAAAAGACTAATGGAGCTAGGGTTGAAGCCGGTGAAAAAGTTTATTTTTTCAGTATTTTCTCATCAATACCTTCCTCCCATGAATATTAGTGACATATCTAGTGGAAAACTAATAGTTAAGCTTTACTAATTTGCCATTGTTAAACGCTTCCAAGTTGCAACTAAATCAGGAATAATCTTTAAGGATCTCTCAGTTTGCATATCGTATAAAAGTGACAGTTAAGGACTTACCTCCAGTTCTGACTGGCAACAGGTTGCTTTGCATAATTCTTTAAGGTTTTGGCTAAATAATACGTTTATCATACAAAGGTTTTGTTAAAATTTATCATTCTTTATTATTTGGGGGGGGGGGGGCATTACATGGAAAATACATAACTCATTGCATGCTGACAAGCGAAACCAAAATCATAACTTTATGAGTGAAGATTAAGTCTATTTAATTTTAATATTTGGATCACTTTCTATGAACTTTTTATAAAGTGCCAAATAAAAAATATTGTATCATACTGATAATGTGCAATTCTTTAATTGGCTACAACTATATATGTAAAAAAGCTTTGTTTTATTTTTAGGGGGACAAACAGCAAACGGAAAATTCTAAAATTGACTTTCAAAACTTACCTTTCTGATTTACGTTGACAAGTTAACTTTATCTTATAAACCGTATTGTCCATAACGACTAGTCGTACGTCTGGCTTAGAATGAAACTTAAACTTTTTCAGCGACATGATTAAGAGATATCTATAGCTCGACTTGTTGTATTAGGAATAGTACTAGTAATAGTCAGGGTTCGGAGGACGGTTCGGAGCAGTTCAGAGTTCGTAATTTCGTACGTGCGAACGCCCGCAATTTGGCGCGAACGTTCCCGCCAAAACCATGCCACAGGAACTCCATTAGTCACGGCATTAGCCATCATGGAGGATTTATCAAGCTATGAAGAAGGGCTTTTCAATTATTCTGTTCCTTATATTTATTTTGTAACATACAGTTTTTTTCTTTTTCAAAAGTCATTTACTTTACAATGAGGCGAAGTAAAACGAATGAATAAGGATTTCCAGTCCTTTTAGAGTGGAATTCATGTCGCCTCGGTTACATGCAAGACTGTGGTAGCCTGGATCTAGAAGGTTAAGATCCAAGATGGAGGATTTCTTGGCTGCTGTTCGTTCTCTTTGTGCCGATAAAAATTACGGAGAATTAGCGAATTATTTGAACCGTTCTACGGATTTGTTGACAAAACATGCAGGACAAATTGATGCAGCAATTGGATCATTAGATCCTGAGCAACATTCCATGGCTTTCATGGCATTATTGTAAGTAAATTATGAAGCTACTGTACACTTGTATTTTCATATTTCATCTAATATTCTGTTTACTTTATCTGTTTCAGACTTGTGAAGTTATCACTGCCTAGTTATGGTGACTTTGAATTGTTATACACACAGATTCAACAGTTTGTCTCTATCTGTTCAAGAGAACAAATTCAGTATTCTGTAGAAAAATGTAAGGCAATGATTAATTTACAGAAACAATTTGTTAGTTTGCTGCAAATCCTTAAATCTTTCGTTTTACCAGCTGATTGCCTAATTCCTTTTACCTGATATTGGATAATTCATGTTTCATAATTCTTAATTTATCTTCTTTCTTATTCTTTCAGTTGCACATTTATGCCATTTTATGACAAAATGTCTTGTTGATATGAAACAGGTATGTGCTTTATGACAATCACTCATATGGCCATCAGAAAAAAATTATCATTTACACACATAAAACTTAATTGTAACAAGCATGGTTTTGCTTATCAATGTCTTAGAAATAAAGTTATCCTCAGAGCTTGAAATAACGGCTGGATATCAGACAATGTCTGCCCAGAATGTAGGTCTTTTGCGACGATGGGTCATGTGACCTACCCACCTTTAAAAAAAATTGTATCAAAATAAAGAACAGAAATGAAAAGAGCTTTGTCATCCAGCCATGACCAATACAATTCCTTATGAAATTTTATGTACTTCATAAGGAAATATTACATGTTAATAGTTGAAACTTTGCCTTTTTACTAATATCAAGGTGCTCTTTTCATTTCTCTTGTTCATTTTGACACTACTTCTATTTTAAGGGGGTAGGGTCACATATCCTGTTGTTACAAAAGGGTAATTGGAACTTGTCTGGTCAAAGTTTTGCCTTGCTGGTCATTTGAGCAGTAACATTGAACCAGAAACGCGGTATGACCGAGCTAAAACTCATTCTATTATTATTATGAGCAATGATTGACTGGCCATTATTTTAAGCCCAGTATCTTTATCTTTGTTCTACTTTGTCCCATTTTTGAAGTGTTTTTATTGCTTTTATAGCCAATGAGAGGAATCAAGATAATGACAATAGCTATTCAAAAAGCACAGCTATCCTCTACACAGTTAACCTCCATCCATGCAGACCTTGCTCAGGTAGTATCCATTATAACCATGTTGATTTTAAAAAGTATTGTAAAATTGTTATACTGAGATAAATAACAAAAATGAATGGTAAAAAAGTAATTTATTGTCCACTGAAATTCTGATTGAAATAATTAAGAAGTCCTTGGCTGATGGGGGGGGGGAAGGAAAACTGTAGCATCCAAAAGAAAACCCTTCAAGTGCAGGAGAGAAAAAGCATGAGCATTTACTCACATTCGACCCACAAGTTCAGGAATTCACCTGGGAGCCATTGGTAAGAGGAAAGCACTTCCCTAAATAGAAAGTATAGTTAATATAAAGAAGATGAAAATGTATGGAAATACTTCTTTTTGCTATTGGATTTTAGAATGTGGTTACCAGATATATTAATCATGCGTACAATATATAATATGTGTAAAGTACACATTTATTGGTTTCTTTTTGTTTTCTTTTCAGCTTTGTCTTGTGGCAAAATGTTTTAAACCTGCATTGCCTTACCTTGATGTTGATATATATGACATTAACAAAGAAGTAAGTCATCTTGAAACTTCAGGAATTTTTCTAATAAGCATTTGCATACAAAATTATCATGCTGATAGAGGAACCTTAAAAGATTCAATATTAAACAGGATTCTCTTATCTTTTTATTACAATTTGACAGAAAAATATGTTTGATGCTAAAAATTACTGAGCTTTTACTATTCCATCAATACTAATTAGATGATTATCATGTTGTCTTTTGTATCAGGGAAATAAATTTGATGCCAAGATATTACTGAGTTATTATTATTATGGAGGAATGATTTATGCAGCACTGAAGCAATTTGATAGAGCACTATACTTCTTTGAAGTGGTATGTTAATGATATGGTTTTTGGAATACAAAACTAATTCATGTATCATTATATATTTTATGTATGCATGTAATACATATATTATGATCAGCCAATCTGTATGGACTTTTACAATAGTGAGCTAGAGACAAGCTTTTGTACTGCTCATACATTTTGTACAGCAGCTCATTGGATGTGGATATTAAGATGAGAATATGTGGACCGCGTAGCACTTATGAAATACATGAAGATATAGAAATATAGATAAGTTATAGTGCTTGGGAACGAGGTTATTCCGGGCGAAAGACCTTGGAATTAAATTTGGAAAAATTAATTTCTTTTAATTTTAATTAATTAATTTAGCACTATAACTTATCTATATTTCTATATCTTCATGTATTTCATAAGTGCTACGCGGTCCACATATTCTCATCTTTGCATCATAATTACCGCGACCTAACATCTATTTCACCCTGGCCTGCTCTCAGTCTGACCTCTAGCTCAGCTGGTAGAGCATTGGTAGTACAATTCCGAAGGTCGTGGGTTCATTTCCCAGCGAGGTCGGAAATTAATTTTTCCAAATTTAATTCCAAGGGTCTTTCGCCCGGAATAACCTCGTTCCCAAGCACTATAACTTATCTATATTTCTATATCTTTATGGATGTGGATATTGTAAATTGCTTATCAAATGTCTAGGAATATCATTTCATGGACCGAGAAAATAGCTAAAGCTGCTTTGTAAAAGCAAATGAGCATGATTTTGCATCAGATTTACATACTTTTGGTTGTGTTTTGCCTGATTATTATTATTCCAATTCCAAAAGATAAACATCAAGTTTGTGGTTTTAATGGGATGTGTCACTTGTTTATAGTCCATTTAGTCTACTTGTGTTTAATGTGTTTTTCTTTCCCTTGTGGAGTAAACTGACATTAAAAAAGTAGAAGATAATATAGGTAAGTTGTAGTGCTTGGGAACGAGGTTATTCCGGGCGAAAGCCCTTGGAATTAAATTTGGAAAAATTAATTTCCGACCTCGCTGGGATTCGAACCCACGACCTTCGGAATTGTACTACCGA